TGTGGCATTTTTGTAAAAGATTCAAAAGGGTGGCATTTTTGTAAAGTGGCATGGAACATGTGGCATATCCCAAAATTTCTCTTTCTTTTATGTATTTGCTATAAAAGTTTCGGTTTTGTTTTATTGTTGTTGACTTCTTAATCTTCTCCTTTGCAACTACTACTTTGATTTGTGTATTCGATTTGTGGAAAATTTAAGGAATTTTGTGTTGGATTTCTGGATTGAGATTTCTTACTGGTTTCTATGCTAATCTATAGTACGTAATCAGATATTAAATATAATATTAAAAAATTTCTTGCAAACCGTGACCAAAAGAAAAAAAAAAATTTCTGCAAACGGGCTATATTAAATATGGCGGATTAAGCATAAACGGGCCTAAACGGATTATATTTAATCTGCCGGGTTTAAGCATAAACGGGTCTAAACGGACTTTTTGTTAAACGGGCCTAAACGGACCGGATCTAAATGGGCGGGATCTAAACGGGCCGGGCGAGCCTGTTTTAACATCACTACGAGGGACCAAGAGAAATAGAGAGTAATATCTTGCTACTTCTCTGTTCTTGTTTAGGACAAAAGCACAAATCGCAATATAGTGATAGTTGTCTTGGAGATGGTAGATGTAAGCGTCACGTAATCATTCTCGGCATGGTCGTATGTAAACCCTCTCTGATTAAAAGCACCAAACAGAATGCGATCACCAAAGTTGGAAAAGCATCCAAAAAAAATTCTTATTCACAACATCTTCTTACATTTACTGCAATGTCGTCAATAAGAGTATAAAGCTCACGAGGCAGCTTTTATCGAAATCCCCTCCTTCCCCTGCAAATCAATGTCCCAAAGTCAATTCATGTTCAAAATGGAGCAGAACAAGTAGCAATGGTATATTGGAAAGCTGGAATGTTTAATACCTGATCTTTGCATGCCTTAAGCGAAGCATCCAGCAGTCATGGGTTCCATTTCCACCACAAGGCATCCTTCTCCAACGAGTACTCCCTCGTGACCTATCACCACAAACAAATGGGAATCAAAGATAGATATATAGGGTGATTTTGAGAGTGAGAGGACACTTGTTCGGTAGATCCTTGACCTGAACCCTCGAGACAATCATGGTCAAAACTCCATCTTTCACAGTGAACTCAACGCCAGTGATATCGCAGCAGTCACAACGCAGATTAGGGTTCCAGAGAAGATTCGGCGGAGAAAGACAGAGCCTTTGGAGTGATGGCGAATCTGTGGCGGACGGCGTCGTATGGCAAATCGATTCGCACATGGACATTATCGTCCCCCAAACCCTGAAACTCTGTTCCAGTATAACGGAGAAAACCAAAGAAAGAAAAAGCTTAGTTGTTGATGAATCGAAAGGCCCTCTTAGAATACTCAAATCTTTGTACCAAAAACAAAAGAAACTCTTTCCTTTTTTTGCGAGAAAAATTGCAACTTTCAAAGAAAAACAAGGCTTTAAGAAGAATTAGATAGAAAAACAAAGATAATGGAAGAAAGGAGACCTTTCATAGTCGACATGTCAAAGCAGCT